TTTTTTTTTTTTTTTTTTTTTTTTTGTTACAATACAATTAAAATTAATTTGTATTTTTTAATGATAAAGGAAAAAAAGAGTTCATAAGTATAATGAAGTATATGTTATGTTAGTATGATTATGTTTCTACATATTTATTTTCCTTTTTTCATAACCAAAAAGAGTATTTATATAACTAAGAATTATAAAAAATTTTTTTAGTACACATTTTAATTTTTTCAACAAAAGTAAACATTAATATAAAATTTGTTCATAAAATAATTAAGAGAGAAAAAAAAGAATTTTACATAAATTATCTATAATTGTTTTTATTTCCTCTTTACAAAAAAAAAAAAAAAATTTCATTTTTTTTTAACATAATACTCTGACCGTAAAAGGCAAAACTAATATATCTTTTTAATATATGTTAAATATCTTTTGGACATTTTTTAATTTTTAAGAACATTTAATTATGCATTAGAAATATATGTTGTATTACATTATAATATTCGAAGCTTAGAGAATTTTAAGAAGACTTTCATATTTTAAAATATCTTTTTAATAATATGAACATATATACCCTTATTAATTATTAATAACTTTAAAATAAACAATAGATATAAAAATATTGATAACTATATTAAAAGTTTAAATAAATTTAATAATTGCAATAATAAATTAATGCAACATATCTTAACATTAATTCTAATGCAAGTATATAAGCATAACTAAATAATGATATTAAAAAAATTAATTATATTTGTATAAAAAGAGTATTTCAAATAAAAAGAAATAAGATAAGAATTATATAAAGTATACATTATTTCGATTGTAAAACATACAAATCAATATAAATAAAAAAAATATACATATATTATTACTAAAAAAAGAAATAATATATCTTTCAGCAGTATAATAATAGAATATAAAAAAAAAATTTATCCAAGGTACATAATTGTTATCTAAATTTATTCTATTTTTTTTTTTTATATATATTAATCATATATTAAATATACTTATGTTTTATTTTATTTTTTTTTTTTTTGAAGTATATTTATTTGTATTTATATTTGTTTAATTCCTAAATCGCACACAATATTTTATTTTGTTTTGATTCTCATGTATTTTTATGATATATATTTTTTTAATATTCTGTTTTTTTTTATATAATATGTGAAAAATTAAAAAAAAAAATAGATTATTAAATAATATGTAAAAAGAAAAAAATATTTAATTAAAAATGAGAGTATTTTTGTTGCATAAATTTTTTAGAAATACCTGAAGTTTTATTAAAAGAACTATTTTATTTTTTTTTTTGAAAAAATATAAATTTGTGCATATATATGCATAATTTTTTTTTTTTTTTTTTTTTATACATTTTTCATTTTTATTTTATTTTATTTTTTTTTTTTGTTTAATTGATTACTATAAATGAAAGGACTGTACACATATAAATTGCATTAATATAAATTACATAAAATAGAATACATTAAATAATAGATAAAATTGACTTTTTATTTTAAACTTTTTATTATTTTTTGTGTGTACAGTATTTTCACTTAAAATCTAAAAAAATATATATGAGATTTTTTTGGAAAAATATAAAGTATATTATTTGTATATATATAGAAAATGAATTCAACATCGAGAAGTTCAAAAGAGTTATTGAGATTACAAAAAGTAATTAAAAAAAAGAAAAAGTATTATAATTATACATTAGGTGCATTTTTGTGAACAAATGGAATATTATATATATATATATATATTTATATATATATATATATATATATGTATATATAAAGCAGAAAAATAGAAAATGTGAATATATATATTTAATATCAATATATACAAAAACCAAAATTATTAAATAGGAATTAAAAGATATTGAAAATGAAAACGTAGAAGAAATAGATGCACATATAAAGGATTCTAATATATTCGAGTGGGTAGGTTTTATAAAAGGTCCATCTGGAACACCATATGAGAATGGACATTTTATTTTAGATATAAATATTCCTAATGATTATCCATATAATCCACCAAAAGTTAGAAAATATATTTTATATATATATATATATGTGACATATTAATACTTTTATGAATTTTTTAAATATATTTTTTGCTTATTAGATAAAATTTTCAACAAAAATTTGGCATCCAAACATTTCAAGTCAAACAGGTGCTATATGTTTGGATGTTTTAAAAAATGAATGGAGTCCTGCATTAACAATTAGAACAGCTCTTTTATCAATTCAAGCACTTTTATCAGATCCACAACCAGGTATTAATATGTTCAATAAATATACATATATTTGAATTTTTTTAAATAACATTTTTATCATATACACATTATTAATTTATTTATTTTATAATTTAATTTATTTAAATAGATAAAAATTACTTTTTTTTTTTATTTACTTTCTCAGATGATCCTCAAGATGCGGAAGTAGCGAAGATGTATAAAGAAAATTATTCTCTTTTTTTAAAAACAGCTAGGTTTTTATAATTTTTATAATCGTTCATTTAAAATATATATATACTTAAATATTATAATATGAAGCATTTAATTATATATATATATATATATAATTATATATAATTATATTTTTACATAATTTTTTATTTAGTGTATGGACAAAAACTTTTGCAACTGTTCCTAAAAAAGAACCAAGAGAAGTCATCGTAATCTATAATAAATCTATTAAAAAATAAGTATAATTTTTTAATACAACTTTTTATTTTTTCATTATTTTTAGATTAAAAAAATTACAGAAATGGGATTTACAGAAGATCAAGCAAAGGTTTATAAAAAAAATTGAATTATCTATATAAAAAACATCATAATTAATATTTTCCTTTTTTTTTTTTTTTTTATTATTTATTTTAGAATGCTTTGATAAAAGCAAACTGGAATGAAACATTAGCGTTAAACACTCTTTTAGAAAACTCTTAATTTTAATAATAGAAGAACCTTTAACTATTTTGGTATAATATATTCTTGAAACATCCTATTGAATTAAATGCATTGTTAAATTTTTTTTTTCTTTCTTTTAATTCATATATTTTGATTTGATTATCATTATATTTTTAAGCCATAATTTTTTGTTTATTTTTATTATTATTTTAACAAATATATTTTTCCATTTAAAAATTTTGTTAAGAAATTAAAATAAAATGTTTCTCTTTTAAGAAAATTTAAATTACAATAAAAAAAAAATATTACGAATGTTTATAGAATTAAAAAGACATACAGGAAAAAATACAATTTTTTTATACTTTTACATAAATTTTGATTTTTAAATAATTTATTATATGGACAATAATATCATTATTTATTTTTTTCTTTTTTTAAAAAAACATAATATTTTACTAGTCCTAATTGAATAAATTATTTTATATGTTATTAATTTAAATAATCTTAAAACTTATATATTTTGTCGAAATTGTTTTAACTAATTGCAATATTACATAGGTAATAAAATAAACTATTTATTTTCTTTTTTTTATACTAATTCTATAAAGAGTATTTAAAATTTAAAGTCCTGCTAACATATTTTAATATTATAAAACAAAATAAAAAAAAAATACACACATTTATAATAGTAGATACAAATAAAAATTTTCTTTTTCTAAATTTATATTTAAAAATATATATATTTATCTTATCTTCATATTTTAGTTATAATAATAGTATCACTATCATATAATTGTTATGATAATTATTACATTTAAGATTGTTATTTGCATTTATGATTAATAATAATATTTTTAAAATATTTAAATTAAGAAAAAAAATATTACACTTAAATACTTTAAAATTAATTTAGATAATAATCTATATATTAACATTTCTTGTTACTGAATTTTTTCCATTTTATTGAGAATATTCCATATTATAATTAAGGATACTTATAAAAAATTATTCAGTTTGCATATTTCTTTAGTTATATTTATAATATAAGAAATTTTTCTTGTTTGATTGCTTTCTAATTAATTATTTTATTAATATTTCTGTATATTCTTTTAAAATTATGCATGTATTTTTTTTTTTTTTTTTTTTTTTTAAATTAACAAATATGCAATTCCTAATATTTTTTAATGTAAAATCATAATTAAAAATATAAAAATGATAGACGAATTTTTTATTATTTTTTATTCTTTTTTTAGTTAAGTTTTTCTCTAAATGAAACCTTTCTTTTTATATTAATTGTTATAATTGTTTTTTCAGAGAAATTAAAGTAATTCAGCAAAAAAGTAATACCATTACATTTACGTATTTGAATATTTATGTAAATATAATATATACAAATAAAAAAAAAAAATACACTCGTATATAATGAAAAAATAATATAGAAAGAAAATTCAATGAAAATTTTATGGAAAAAAAATTTTCTCAAGTGAAAATTTTGAAATTTGTTTTTTAAATAAATATATATATATATATATATATATATATATTTAAAATGTATAAAGAAATATTCGTACACATAAAAAATATGAAAAGTAATAATAAAAAAAAATAAAAAATATATTTAAACAAATTAAATTGATAATAATGAATAAACATAGTTCCATTGGAGATACAACGATAAAAAGTGAAAAAATGAGTTTCAATTTTAAACCTTATTCACAATCTTTTTCTGAAAAATCGGAAATTAAAGAATTAAAAAACTTTGCTCGTTTTTTTTTACAAGGAGAATTAATGCGCCAATTTTTACTAGACGAAGATATATGGTTATTTATACAAAATGTAAAAATAAAGTTAAAAGAAGATCCCACTGAAATAGACAATTGGCTAGATAATCAATTACATATAGCAAAAACTAATGCTAGTAATTTTTTTAATTCTGATATTCCTCCTTTTCATCATTCAAAAAAGAATGTTGAATATAATAATTCTAAAATTGATAAAGATTATGAAAAAAATAGTTTTATTAATAATGATTTTTTTAAAAAGAGTAAATACAATGATAAATATATGAATAAAAAAAGTGATACAAAAGAATTAGAAAAAGATATGATAATAGAGAATGCAGAAATGAACAGGAAATTTATAAATGAATTAATTCAACATAACTTAGAAAATAAAGAGAAAAGGATAGGAGATTATAAAAAAATAGAATATAGCGTTAATATGCAAGAAAAAAATTATGATTTTAATGAAAAAAAGTTAGACAATATTGATAATAATAATAATAGTAATATTAAAGTAGAGAATGGAATAAATAGAATAACAGTAATAGATAATAAATATGAAAGTAATAATAATTTAAAGGAATATGTCGATAAAAATAGTGAAAAAAATGTAATAAATAATAAAGATTATATGAAAAGAAGAAAAAAAGAAATAGGAGAAAATGATTTAAGCACGAATAACAATTATAATGAAGAAACAGAAGAAAAGAAAATTTTAATGAATATAAAATCTCATCTTAACTTAGAGAATAATTTAAAGAATGATATTTTCAATAAAAAACAGAATATAATTAATACATATGAAAATAATTCAGCTAATGTTTTATATAGTAATAAAAATGATTTCACAATAACAAATAATAATATTATTAATAATGAAAATGATAATGATTTAAGAGATGATAATAATTATATAAATGATTTAAGAAATAATGTTTCTAAAAACAAAGTTGATGAAGATAAATTTAATGAAAGAAAAAAAACATATGAAAACAAATTAGTAGAAACTAAATTGAATGAACTCCAATTTAAAACAAATAAATTAGTGAAAAAAGAAATAGATGAGGAAATAAGAAATGAAGAACCATTTCATCTAAATGAATTTAATGAAAATGAATTAGCTGAAAATAAAATAAAGGAAAGCAGTGCACATTATAAAAATAAATCAGTACGAATAGAGTTAGCTCAAAATAAATCAACAGAAAATAAATTTAAAAATGAATTCAATGAAAATTTATGTAATAAAAATAATAAAATAGTTGAAAATAAATTAAATATAAAAGTTAAAAATAACAATAATGAAATGCAAATTTTAATACCTAAAGTCACAGTCAAAATTGGAAGGTTAATGAATGAAGATAGAGATATGAAATTAAAAAAAATATTTAACCAATGTAATAATAAAATGAATTTAGAAGCTTTTGAAAATTTAATAGTTGTGAATTTTTTAAAGATAGGGAAATATATGAGTCATACATTATTTTCAAAAATTGATAAAGTTAATAGTGATTTCATAACATATGAGAATTTAAAAAAATTTTTTTACAATCGCTTTATCGATGGAACAAAAGATCCAAGTTATTATGATGATGAAAAATACAAAAATATGTTTAAAAAAGGTAAAAAAGATATTTTTGAAAGTTATTTTTATAATTCCATCCAAAATGAATATACAAAAAATAATTTAATCCATGATAATGAAACGGGTGATTTTCCTTCCAGTCAAAAAGATCATATAGATGTACCCTTTAAAAAATGCTCAATTATCAATTTTTTTAATGCAATTAAGGATGAAAAAAAAGATCATTTAGAATTTAAAGATTTTGATGCATATGTAAGGGAAATTTTAAGAAGAAACAAGTCTTTAAAATTTTTATTAGATCATGTAGAATTTTTAGAAAGATATATAGAATCAGTTATAGTTCGTTTATATTATCATATAGATATAAATGATACAAATAAAATATATTTAAATGATTTACGAAAACATGATTTAGCTCATGTTTGGTGTTCTCTAGATGATTCTATAAAAGTGCAACATGTTAGACAGTATTTTAGTTATTCCCATTTTTATGTATATTATTGTACTTTTTGTCAAACAAGTAGCTGTAAAGATATGTTGATAGATGATAATGATTTATATCGGTTTGATAATCATTCATTAAATGATTTTATAGTTAATAGGATATGGTCAAGAATATCAATGAAATTAGGAGGACCTAACCAAAAATATATGTGCTTGAATGATTGGATTTATTTTATAATGAATTATGAAGATATGACTTCGAATAGATCTATTGAATTTTGGTTTAAATTAATTGATTTAGATGCAGATTGTGTCATAAGAGATCACGAAATTCAAGTTTTTTTTAATATACAAATGGAACGATTAAAATCTCATTACTTAGAGGAACCTAAATTCGAAGATTGGCTGTGCCAAATGAACGATGCTATTCGACCATCTAATGAAGGAAATTTTACTTTATCTGATTTTAAAAAAAATAAAAAATATGCTGCAAAATTTTTTGGTTGTTTGGTTAGTTTATCAAAATTATTAGCATGGGAAAGTAGGGATGTACATAAAGAACTTCAAATTGAAACAGAATTTCCTCATTGGACTCCATGGGAAATTTTTTGTAAGACCAAATATGATGAACTGTGTTATATAGAAAATGAAAGTTGCTATGATGAAAACTTTGACAGTTATGAAAACTATGATTCGAAAAATTTATATATCCTAGATTCAGATTAATTGCAATGAAATTATTTTTCTCCCATTCTTTTTATCTAAAAAAAAAAAAAAGAAAAGTGTGAATAAGGTATATTTTTTCTATAAACATAATGGAAATAAGATGTATTATAAAATAAAAATATTAAATTGTTATAAAGAAAAGAAATTCAGGAAAACATAGAAGATACGGTATTAAGGTAATTTCACTATTTTATTTCAAAAAAAAAAAAAAAAATAAAAAAAGTAAAATAAAATAAATAAATAATATTAATAAAAAGTAGAATTATATTAATATTAATATATATATATATATATATATATATATATATATAAGTCGGAATAATAAAAATGATATAAAAAAAAAAATTAATATCAAAAAAGTTTAATATTATGATCTATATATTTCAAAAAAGTTATTCGTACAAATGAAATTCCCAAATATATTTAAATTATGCATTAAAAAAAAATATTAATTAAATTTTTATTTTATGTATATATGGGAGCATATGAATAAGTACATTTTTATAAAAATAAAATAATTTTTGAAATATATATATATATATATATATATATATATATATCCCAAAGTTTTATATTTTTTTATATATTTATTTGTCTATGTGTAAAAACATGTGCATTTTATTCGAATACATACTAAATTCCTCAAATTATAAAAAGAAATTAATCTATAAATTTTATTTTATATATATGTACAATTATTATGTTTATCAATTATTACTTTCCATTAGTATTTAATTTAAAAACCGAAAACATTTCATACTATATATTAATTTAATTTTTATACGTTTGTAATTTTAAAATTATAATTTTATGCTAAAATAACCTTAATGTTTATTCTATTTTTCATATTTTTTATTAATATATATTTTTTTTAAAGCTTTTTTTTCATTTCACACATAATTTGTATTGAATTATGTTTTTAATATCTACCATAATATTACATTTTTTATTTTTTTTAGTTTTAATTATATGAAAAGCATTAAGATTTAATAGTTTTTTCTTACGTTTTTTATAAATAATAGTATCTTTTTTTTTTTTTTTTGTTAATCTTATTTTCTTAAAAATAAGAATAAATAGAACAAAAACAAATTAAGAGAATTAAAATTTATTTCAATTAAACTTTTTTAATTAAAATTTATATTTTATTATTGTAAAATTTTGTTATATATCAATTTTTAATAAATTTAAAACTCACCTATAAAAGTATACTCTTATATGATAAGAAAATCATTAAGACAAGAATAATAAAGAAGTGATTTAAGACTAGTGAAGTATAAAAAGATAAAGAAAAACAAAAGTGAGTTAGATATAATTATCTATAAATTCAATATATAGAGTATATTCATTTTTATTCCTAAATTTAGGGGGGAAAAAAAAAAATGTGTATACGAAGAATACCAGGATTTCACGAAAAAATACATAGATCTATATTTCGAAGAAAAAATAGTGGGCCATCTCCCTTATACAAAACTCCCCTTAGACACATATGGGCTATTTTTTTTTATATAGACGTTTTCATATTATATATTTATGTTCTTTCATTTTTTTTTTCAATAATAACACGTCATGAATGTTTTGAAATATTTCCTATAGTATTTCTAACTGCTGTTAATCTAAGTAACTATAAAATGGAAAATAGAATACTTGTTATATATATTAATACTAAAATATATAAATATTTACATAATTTTAATAATATTTTAATTTATAATTTCTCATGATTTCTTATTATTCCTGAACATTGTATGGAATTAAGAAAGAGAAAAACAATATAACTAACAATTACCTAATTACTTCATTGATATAAAAATTTATATAAAATAAAGTATTTTTCTTATAAATGGAATTTATTATTAAAAAATATATGAATAATATATCATATTATATTAATATAATATATATATATATATATATATATAATTTTTCTAATTCATTATTTTTTTCCAGTCTCAAGTTTTTTCATTGATTTTTTCTTTTTATTAATAAAAGACAAGGAAGTAGTAAGTGAAGATGAAATAATTTTGTCTACTTTCTTTACAATATTATGTTGCATCATTAAGATAATTGTTAATGTTTATATTTTTTATACCTCACTTAACTATTTTGGAAAAATTTTTGATTCAAGCGATAATGATATCAAGACAAGATGTCATACATCTGTAACAAAAGGAATATTATTAAACTTTATTGTTATCACCGCTTTTCCCTTTGTTGAAACATATATAGAATCAATTCTCACATTTTTTTCTATTGTCCACTTTAAATCACAAGTACAAAAATATGAAATGATCATTTAAGTCTCTTAAGGATTGAAAAAAAAAATTATAGATTATATATAATTTTAATATAAAATGGGAAATTATACCTATTTCTAAAATATACAGAGTACTTATTTTCTTATTTTATTTTATTTTTTTTTCTAACAATTATTATAAGTTACATAAAAACTATATAAAAGTAATTTTTTTTTTTTATTCTTTATTCTTCATTATCAGTTAAATTTTAAATTTATGTTGAGAACTTAAATATTTATATATCATTATAGAATTTAGATCTTTAATTTAAGGAAAAAAAAAAGTGAACCTCTTATATACTTTAAGTGGGCACATTTTTATATTTTTAACAATAATATATTTTTTACTTATTATTTCACATATTTATTTTTTTGTTTTTAAAATTAATTTTTTAATTTTTAAATAATATTCAAAATAAAACTCTTGTTTCTTATAATATATTTAGTTTCTATTAAAGTATATCAAAAAAAAAAAATTGAAAGGTTATTTACTATTTTTTTCTTTCATATGTTTTAAACTTCTAAAAGCTATAAAACTATTTTCTATTTAAGACAGTAAAGAAAAAAAAAAAAAAAAAAAAAAATTCAATAAATAGACTTCATATGAAGTTTTTTTGATATTAAAATTTAATTACAAAAAGTTTCATCTATACAAATGAAAATATAGGTATTTCAAAATTTTTCTATGTAAAAAGTTCAAATGAAAAATATTGCTAATTTAATATCATATATTTATATATAAGATGAATTTATGTAACATTGTATGCATATGAATTTATGTGTGCATAAACATAATTAAAATATACTAATGTAAAATCAAATTCTTTAAAGCATGAGAATGAAAAAAAAATAAAAAATAAAAAACATAATTATAATAGATGAAATACAAATTGGTTAAACGGCATACAAAAAAGAAGGGAAGAAAAAAAAAAAAAAAAAAAAATACGAATGTAAATGTTAAAATGGTTTTCAAAACGTAATTATAGTAATATAAATAAAAAATAATTTTGTAATATTTTGAAACTTAAAAATTGCCTAAAAAAAACTCAATAATCTTCTAGGAGAAACCATTTAATTAAAGTTTTACTTTTTTATTTAATATTGTTTAATTACATATAAAAAAATAAATATAAACAATAAAGGAAATTTATTTATGTTGAAATATATGCACTTTCCTCTTGAACAGAGTAAAAGGTTTTATCAGAACATTGATCACATTGTCTATGTTTCTCACAAGTTTCTCCACCAACAACTATAATTGTAAAATCATCACCCAAATATGCATTAGTGACCTTTTGATGTAACATTGAGTAAATTAACGTAGCTTTGTTAAATTTTTGCTTTAATCCAGATTGAATAGAAATACCTGGCTGAATATTTTGATTTAATAAAAAATCTGAACTAGCTGTAAATATTAATTTATGGTGTGCAGAATGACCCCACATGTACAATTGATTAAATTTATTTATGCACGCAGAATGCCTTTCTCCACAAAATATTTTTTTAGCCTTTTGATTATTCTCATGTAATTCAACGAATTTTGGTGTAGTAACTATGTTTTGAAAACCAGAAATTCCACATTGTCCTGAAATTTTATCTCCAAATGACCAAACATGTTCATCTTCAGTTATTAACAAAACATGCCTTGCTCCTGCACTTACCTTATTAACTTTTGGTAATTTTTTGTTATTAGCATCTCTTAATATTAATGGTTCTGGATAAATAAAATAACATCCACCCTCATCATCAAATGAACTTTTACATAATTCTCCATATGTTCCATCACCCCATCCGTATAATTCTCCATTAATTAATAATAAAATGGCAAAATTTTTTCCCATTGCTATTTGTTTTATTTTATTTGATTCAAACTTGTAAAAAAATGTAGGTACATACTTCAAATAATTATTATATGTTTCTCCCCATATGTATAGAGATCTATTATTATCGCACACAGCTATACTTTGATTATATTTTGCAAATATTTGCGTGCATACTTTTTTTTTTTTGTCACGATTTTCGTAATCTGTTATTAAATGAGATAACACATTTAACGTTGTTTCAATAACATCCCCATAATCTATTATATTTAATACTGTTGGTACAAATCTATCAAAATTACATTTTAATCCATTGTAATTTCCATGACCCCAAGCGTAAAGAATATTGTCATTTGATAAACAAAGAGAATGATTATAACCGCAAGCTATTTGTTTTATATTATTTACTGATTCAATTAATGAAGGTTGTATATTATAAACAATTAAATTACCTTGCCCTAACTCTCCGTGTAATCCTTTACCAAATGAATACATATTCCCTGTATTACTTAAAAATAAAGCACAAGTTTTATTGCAACTTATCTCTTTTATTTTTACATGACTAAGTTCAGTATATATTGTAGGTAAATATTCAGGAGTGTCATCATTTTCATTTATAACCCTTTTTCCCCAATAATAAATTATAGTTCTTTTATCTTCATATTTTGGTAATTTTTTTATATAATCTGATGAAATTATAGCTTTCGTTACCAATTTTGGTTGTGACAAATTCTCTTCTTTAGATTTTTTAAATTTAAAAAAATTTGTCATTTTATATAAGTATAAATATAAATTTAAATATAAAACAAACACTTGTTTTTATTTTAGTAAAAGCGGCGGAAATAAAAAAAAAAAAAAAAAATTACAAATAAAGCAAAAGCATTACACATAGAAATTTACACATTTACAAACAAAAAAAAAAGCTTAATAAAAATTATAGTAAATATAAATAATAGTATGCATTTTAAATGCAAAAAAATGTTAAAAACTAAATTATATATAACCATATATGTTAAATAAAAATTATAAAATTTTTTATTTTTTATGTCTTATAATGCAATAATACTTAATTAGCAACAAATGCACAAATAAGGAATATTATTATTTTTACTATGTAAATATATAAGTTATTTCAAGTTATTCATCATTTTTTTTTTATATTATTTCGTATTAACAAAACTAATTATATAATATATTTTTAACTAGGTATAATTTTTATAAAAAAAATGTAATTTTTTAATATAAAAATAAAAAATTTCCTATTTATTTTTTATATAATTTCTTATATAAAAAGGGAAAAAGCATTATATAACATTAACAAGCACTATTATATGTATGTTTTAATTAGAATTTTAATTTATTATAATTTTAAGTATCTTATGCTATGAATAATACATTTTTCCAAAATTTTTATATGTAAATTTTTTTACTTTTATTAGTTTTCTATATTGTATACAATATTAAAAGCAAAAATTATATAGTAATTATACACAAAAAAGCTAAAACTGTAAAATATTAAGAAAAAAAAATATTAAAAGAAAATAAAAAATATATTATTTCCACCTTAAAAATAATTAAGAAAAAATAATGGAAGAATCTCAAATAAAATAATAATAAAATTTTCTATTATTTTTATGAAGCTTGTGATTAAAACTACATTTAAGAAAATTAATTATAACAAAAATTTCAAAATTTAAACTTCAAATTAAGATTTAATAATGCTTAAATATTATTAGGATAACACAAAACTAAGAATAATAATATTAAAATAAATTTTAAAAATAATAAATTTAATAAAAATGATTATGCTATTCATATTTTTTTTTGGCTACGTTTTAATTTTAAATTATTCTTTTAACAATTATATTTTAAAGTGTGTAATATAATTTTTATTATATTTTCTTTTTTTAATTATTTTTTATTTAAATGCTGAATTTACAATTTTTTTTCTCGTTAGAGAAAAAAACAGTCACTATTATTTGTTTTTTTCCTCTTTCTTTTTAACTTTAAATTGTAAATGTTAAAAATATGTATATATACATATTTAATAATAAAAATTTTTTTCTTTTATATATTTAAAAAAAAAATTTAATAAAAAATAAATGAGAATATTGATTAAAAAAATTTTCAAAATAATTGAAAAATAAATATAAATACAAAAGCATTAGATATAAACAAGTCAAAATTTTTTATTGAAAAATAAGATATAATAAATAAACAAAAATTTTAACAAATCAAATTTCAATGACGAAAATAACATTTTTTTTTTTTTTTTTTTTTTTTTTTTATAATAGATTAATGTTTTAAAAATATATACAAATTCTTTAATTTCTTATATATATTTTTTAAAACAAATATATTTAGTATTAGGAATAATTTTTGTTAAATATGGATTGAATCATTTTTTTTAGTTCAGAAATTAAATTTATTTTTATATTTAATAAATTACTCTTGTAATTTAAAAATTTACATAAAATTATAAATAGAAAAAAAGTGAATCAAAATATACTCAAAAATTAATGAAGCTATAATACATAAACTGCGATATATAGAAACAAAAAGTATTATACGAAATATTTTTAAATCAACATAAAATATAAAGGTGAAATATGTTTCTGTCTAAATATAAAATTGATAACTGGAATTATATCTATATAACATTCCATATAAAATAACGAGCATAGATATATATAAAGAAAAAAAAAATAAAATAAAAAAAAAAATAAAGAATATAAACAAAAAAGAAGAGTTTTTTTGGCGATGTTATTTATTATTTAGCCTAATTAAAAGTTAGATATTATATTTTTTTGTATATAAAAATATGCATATGTATGTAAAATAAAACATTAATAACCAAAAAAAAGATTAATGGGTTTTTTAAAAAAAATGTAGAAGAATAAATGAATCTGATAAATATTGTATATTTTTCAATTATAAACGACATTTTATATTAATTATTTAAATATATTTCTAAGTTTTATATATTCTATAAAAAATGAATTATCACAAAATTTTAGGTAAATAGAAAAAAAACATCATTATATATATAGAATCTGTATGAAATAATGGAATTATTAAAGTATAACTATTAGAATTCCACAAAACATTTTAAAATATCTTATATAAAGGAGTGCATATATTTAAATATTGTATAAATATGTATATATAAATAATAAATTATATAATAATTTTATTTATTATAGGTGTTACAAATAATGCTTGCAAAAAAGCAATACGTGAAGCTTATTTGAAAAAAGTCAAATTATATCATCCAGATTTAAACAAAAGTCCAGATGCTATAACAAAATTTAAACAAATTCAAGAAGCTTATCAAGCTTTATATAATAATGATTATTCAAGTAACAATCTCTCTATTATGAATTACATGTATTTTTTGTGTCTCATATTAAATTAGTTCCAAATGTTTTTTTTTATTAATTTTTATTAGAAAAATCTTACTACGGTGAAAATTCATACACAAGTAGTTATAGAAGTGAAGATAAAATGAAAAACGAGAATTATAACTATTCTGATGATTTTAGTGAATTTCATAAAGCATTTTATGAAGAAATTCGTAAAATGAGAGAAAAAGAAAGAAGTGAACAAAACAGGGTAAATATAACATTTTAAATATAAAAACATAATTAAAAATTCTTTATATACTTTATTTATTTTTTTTTATTTATCATTAGAGATATGCAAATAATAATTACGGTTATTCCATCAATGACATATTTCATAAATATCCAAGGGAATATTTTTACATAAATTTAATGTTTAAATTATTTCCCTTATTCATTGTACCCATTTTGTTTGTACTTATTATATATAAGCAATATATGTAATAACAGGAAGAAAAAAAAAAAAAAAAACATTTAATATATTTCTATTTTCTTCATTCATATATTTACTAATCAGAAGTTTTACATTTTCTATTTGTTTTATCAATTTTAGTTACTATATATTCTATTTCGGAAAAATATATTAGTTATTTTATAATTTTCATTAATAAAACTGAATTTTATATGAATCTTTTTTTATAGTTTAAAGAGTCATTTTAAAGAAAAGCCCATTGTTATATATGATTCTTATGGTAATATATAATTAGAAAAAATATTTATATATTTATCATTATAATGAAAATACTGAAATTTTTAATTAATATTTTACTTTTGTGTTTTAGTATTATTTTGCATAATTATGAAAATTTTTTTTTATAGGAAGAGCTTTTTTGGTAGACATTCAAGGAAAAAAATTCAGGTTAAAGTTATTATATAAATTGTTATATGAAATTGAATAAATTTTAGTAATTATTCTATTTTTTTTTTTATTTTTATATCATTATTATTATAATTATTTTTATTTTATTTTTTACAGAGCATCTGAATTTGATAAATATTGATTTATTTAAAATAATTTTAAAAATGTGTTCTTTTTTTAGGACAAAAATATTTTTTTAATTTTTTTATATTTGTACTTTGATATTTGAATAGATAATTCGTTTTTATATTTTTAGTTATAAAATATAATATCTAGTTATTTTTTTTTTATTTTATGTTTTTTTTAATTTTGGAACCTATTTATTTTATGATATCTTAATATTTCTTCATATCTTTTTATATGAAATTAAAATAATTACTTTTATTCAATAAAATGACTCTTTATATAAAAAAATTTATAAAGAGAATAATAGAGAAAAAACATATATCTATATGTACTAATTTTTATATAATTTTTTTTTTTTTATTTAAAGGTATGTTCTGTACAATTAATTCGTATTATGCTTATATGAAGGAGAATTTTTTTTTTTTTTTTTAATTTTTTTATATTATTCATTTTATTTATAAATGTATTATATATACATAATTGATACAAGTATATTTTTAAAAATAATTAGGGAAAGCATAGTATAGGATATTTTAAGATTTTTAATTTTAAACGCTTAATTTTCATATACATAGTATTATAAGTGTTTTAATATGTGCATGAAGTTAACATTTCGAAAATGGTTTAGTTTATAAAAAGATAAAATTTATGTTAATTTATATATTTATGTTGTTTATATTACTATGCATATAAAACAAAAGATTATTTACTCATTTATTTTTTTGTTTTTTATTTCTTTTATTAAATATTCTATTTTATTATTTATGGGGAATTTTATAAAAATATCTTTATATTACATTTTTTTTTTTTAATATTACTTTTAAATTTTTTATAATTCACTTTTATTTCTGCTTTATTTAAAAATAGACAGTCGTTTATTACCATAAACTGTTTATTTTTATTGCTTACAAAAAAAAATATATGTTTTATCAAGCAATTAAAAGCAATTTTTATTAATAATTTTAAAGAAAATCACATATATTTATATATAAAATGTTTAAATTAAATTTCTTATCTGTTTACATTGTTTTATATTTGAAAAGAAAAAATACGTAGGAATAAATAGATATCCGTGAAGAGAGCTTAATTACCAAAAATTAGACAAATTGTTATTTAAATCTTCATATATACGCTTTTATATAACCACATGTTTTGTAGAATTAAATTTTAGCTAAAAGGAAATTTATTAATTAAGGATACACCATTAAATTCATTTGTAAAATATAAACTTATGAAATATACAACAAATAAATTTATGGCAAAAAATATATTACTTGGTAATATAATAAGCACTAAAATGTGCACAGTCATGCACATTATTGCATACCATTTAAAAAAGAAAAAATAAAGAATTAAGTAATATATATATATATATATATATATTATCAAAGATTAAAATAATAAAATATTAATGCATTTTCTCATTTTGATTTTTAAATATTTCACCGTTATTTAACATTATCGTTATATTATAAATTTAAAAACTTTTATTAACACATTTTTTTTTTTTTTTTTAAAGCTATTTATAATTATGCACACAAGGAAATTTATAGTTTTAAAAAAAAAAAAAAAAGGCTTAAAATTCAATGTATATATGAAAAAATTTAAGTATGATATTTGCAAAAAAAAAAAAAATAAAATATAATAAACAAATAAATTTTCATTTTTAATAGTTTCTTATAAAAATTCTACAATATACAAAAAAAAAAATTATTTTTATTTATTTTATTTTTTAAAAGGTTTCTATTTGTAGAGCACTGAAATATTTTTTATAAACATAATTTTGGAATTTTAATATATAAAATAAAATACCATAAATAGGATACTTTTTTTTAAGAAATAATAATAAGAAAAAATAGTAAAATTCTGTAATATTTTTTTTTATTTTTGAATGATTATATTATTAGAATGAAACTGTTGTATCAAAAAAAATAACAAAACAAAATTATAATAAAAAAATTTTAGATCTACAATTGCTTAATTAATTTTTTTTTTTTAAAAAGAAAACTTTACATTTTTATTTGTCATTCATTTTTTAAATTAATATATATATGAGAATTCATAAAAAAAAAAATACATATATGTATGTATATATATATATATCTATTTTTTATCATGAATATTTCTAAATGAATTTAATGTAAATATTGTATTCTTATTTTTACAAATTTTCATATATCATCCTCTATTCATTTCATAAAATTAATTTATATGTATTTAATTCTATTTTTTTGTTGTCTTTACTGTGAATTATAAATTACTTGTGTTTGTCTATTTATTATGTCAAAATTAATTAGTTAATTTAATTTTATTATATATATATATATATATATATATATATATATATATATATATATATGTATTTTGTTTTTACAATTTATATTAAAATTTTTACTCTGTAGAATGTATATGTTTTTTAATGATATATATTAAGATTAGTTTTTAAAATAAATAAAATTATATCTTTTTTTTATTTAATTTCAATTATGTAATAACTTTATTGTAGAGAATAATTCAAAAAAAAATACCTTATTTTTAATTAAATAATGCATTTACAAAAGAACATTAAAACAACAACAACGCAACCATAAATTATAGAAATATGCAAGGTATAAATATGCAAGAATATTATCTAGATAAGATTCAAAAAAATATAAGTCAAATAAAAAAATCACAGAACATTTGTTTATATCAAAGCATACATGAAGATGATTTTAACGTGAATAATAATTATATCTTAAATCGTTTTAAAGAATATAATAATGTATCAAATACAAAAAATACTTATGTTCTAGATGAAAACAATAGCAAACCAATATCTCATGAAAGAAATTTAAGTATGGAAAGGATATTAAATGGACAATATATAAATAATAACAATTTTAGTGATGAAGTAATCAATAATTATAATGAGTATTATAATCCATATAACAATAAGATTAATAATAATGAATATGCTAATCCATTATATTTATCAAATAATAGTGTTCCTAACAAAGATGTCAATGAAAATATGTTAAAACATGAAAGTTTTAAGTATTGTAAAAATAAGTTAATTATGGATAATAGTGTAAATAATTCAAATAATACTGTAACAGAAAAAATTAATAATTTCACTGAAATAGAAGGAAATCAATGCTTTAATAATTCTCTCCTTAATAACGCTAAATTAATAAACTATAAAACAAATAAATCAATAAATAAAAGTTACATAAAATCAGATGAAATTTATAATCGAAAAAACATAAATATTACTAACTCTATTCCTACCAATAAAAGTATTTTTACAAATTATCCTGATAAAAAAGATGAAATGAATAATAATATAACTTTATTAAGTCACATTAACAATGGTAATAATAATCTCTTTCAAAATAAAATAACATGCTATGAAAATAAGAACACGAAAAAAAAAAGTGATATATATGAGTATTTTACTAATCAAAATTACATTCATAACAATTTAGATAAAATCAATATAAAAAATATAGATAAAAATTGTAAAGATTATGTTAATTTAAACTATTCTAAAAGTCATATAAGCCAAGATATATTTCATGAAATACATAGTAAAAATTTTGAAGTAAATTCTTTAGGAAATTACAATATAAAAATAAACGAAAATAAAAATAGTCTAAACAATATACCTTCATGTGAAGGAAATGATATTGTGATAAAAAGTGAGAATGTATATGATACTGAAAAAACTACAAAAAATATTAGTATTCAAGATAATAATATTGACTTCAGCTTACAAAGATGTAGTAGTGAAAACACACAAAAATCAGGAATAAATAATGTAAATAGTTATCATGAATCAGTAAATAATTTAAAAAACGATTGTATGGAACCAAGTCAAGTACTACGTTCAATCCAAATAAAAGATCAGATTGATGATTCAAGAGATGATTCATTAAGAAAAAATAAGTTATATCCTATATTTTACAATAATTATAAAAATTGTGAAATTAATGTAGATCATTTAATAAGTAATAATCTTAAAAATTCAAAAAATATTAATTCTTTAAATAAATTACACTCATCGATGATTTCCTCATATTGTCCTCATTTATCAAATTTTGAAAAAGTAAACTCACATTATTCTACTATGTTTTTAAAAGAAGAGGATAATAATAGATATAAAAAAGAAAATTTTATAACAAGCATTAACTCACATGAAGAAAAAAGATATATTACAGATTTAAATTTTTCAAAATGTAATATAGAAGATATGATGGAAACTAGTAATAATTTTCAAAAAAGTCATCAAAATGAAAAAATAGTAAAAAGTAATTTATCATTCCAAAAAGAAACTCATGAATGTATTACCAGTAAGACAAATAAAGGAGAAAATTCAAATATATATGCTCCTTTTGCAAAAGATAAAATAAGAAGTTCTACATTAGTAAATATTAATAATAAAAGTGATGATTATAATAATGAGAAAAATGGCAATAATGACTTAGTTATAACTAACAACATAAACGATAAAAAAAAGAGTATAAACAATTTAGAAAAGAATAATTTTCAGAAAGAAAAGGAAAATGAAAATAAGGAATTTTGTATCTTTAAGAAATATGATACGAGTGTAGGCAACAATAATCCAAATACAAAAAACACTGAGGTAATTGATTTGGATTTTTTGCAAGATGAAATATTGAAAGAAGAATTATATAAAGAAAAATATGAAGAAGGAAAACAAGATGATAAACCTTTTAATAATTTTAAGTATATAGAAACAAATGAACATATTTTAGAAAAAAGAGATGAAAAAGAAAATAATATAATAGAGAATAAAGAAGAAAATACTATAAAAAATCAAAAAATAATTGATAGCAAACAAAACAGAAAAGATAATGAGAGTAAATGGAGTAAATGTGATATTGAAAATATAAGAAATGAAGCAAATAATAAAACAGAACAAATTCTTGAAGAAAAAATAAAAAATATAGAAGAAAAAGATATTAATGCACTAAATATAGATATACAAATAGAAAAGTTAAATGAATTTAAAGAAAAAGAAAAAAGTGAACTAATTATATATGATCAATTAAAAGAAGAAAATGTAAAAGAACAAGAAAAATCAAAAAAAGAGTATACAAAGAAAAAAATTCTTAATGAAATAGAGGAAAAATCATTAGAAAGAAGTAATAAAGTTCAAGAAGTGGATATTAGTAATTATAATACAAATGAAATGGAAAGTGATTCTTTATACATAATAAATGATAATATAAGTATAGATGAAAAAAATGAGCTAGAAAAAGAACTGGAATTATATTTTAAAAAAGAAGGATTTTTAACCCTATCTAACTCTATTAAAATTTCTGAAAAGGATGGAAATGACTTGTGTTATATTGATCAATCAAAAAAAAATTTTTTTAATTTCTTGAATGTAACGAAATCAATGAATTCAGAATATTCTGAAAAGGAATATGAAGTTTCTTCCAGTTCTATAGACATATTTGAAGATGATAGATTCTTGAGTAATTCTCATGAAAATACTACAAATAAATGTAAAAAGAATACTTTCTGTACACATGAATACATTGATGAAACTAAAAAAAAGAAAAATAGAGAAAAAAAAATAAGTGATATAGAAAATAAATTGAATGTTTTAGATACTTCAAATATGAAAAATACTATAAATATGAACTGCAAAACCGTAAGAGATGAATATAAGGATGAAAATAATAATATAACAAAAAAAAATAAAAGTATAGATTTTTTTTTTTCTAAAAATAAAAATTTTTTATTCATTGATTTACTAAAAAATAAATTCATTAAAAAAGATAATTATTTAGAAGATAAACTGGAAGAAAAATATAATATTTTAATGCATCCTGATAATGAAAAGGAAAAAAATTTGATTGATAAAATTATTTATTGCCTAGATCCATCCTATATAAATAATACGTTAGATGAAAAAATAAAATGGAAACAAAAATTAAAATATATGCAAGAAAAATTTCTTGAATCTATTCTTTGTGTATCCTACCCAAATCACTTATGGAATGAAACAAACTTTGAAGCATATCTTCAATCTTTAAATTTTAATTCTTTGTTAGATGATACATTCATAAAATATGAGGGAGATTTAAATATTAATTTATTTCAGAAAGAAGAAGAAATTTTTTCTGATGCAGGAAATATTGGAGAAGGAGGGTTTGGAATTGTTACAAAAATGAGATTTTTAACAGGTACCAAATATTATGCAATAAAAAAAATATCAAAAGATCATATAATAAAATCTCAAGCAGCAGGACAAGCTTATTTGGAGGCTAAATATCACTCAGTATTAAGTCATGTAAATATAATAAAAATGTATGGATGTATGCAAGACGATCAATATATTTATCATATATTGGAATTTTGTTCAAAGGGTAGTATTTATTCTATATCTAAAAATTTTAAAAAAAGAATAATTCCTGATGAATTAGCATACAAATATTTTTGTCATGTTGTTAATGGATTATACTACTTGAATCAAATGGGTATATTTCATCGAGATATAAAAATGGAAAATGTTTTAGTAGACCATAAAGACAATGCAAAATTATCTGATTTCGGTTTGTCTGCTATGATATTAGGTACAAAAAGCCATTCATCTCTATGTGGAACCCTTGTTTATTTCTCTCCGGAAATCACAAGTGGGAATGGATATGATTGGAGATCTGATATATGGTCTCTTGGAGTTTTATTATATGAAATGTTAGTGGGAGATGTTCCTTTTGATGGTACAAAAACACAAATTGTGGAATCTATTTTTTCTTGCGATTTAAAGTTCCCAGATTTTGTTAATCCTCTAGCTATAAATTTAATAAAAAAAGCTTTAGTAGTGGACGTAAATAAAAGAATAAAATTATGCGAGTTATCGTCTGATCCTTGGATGCAAGAAATGTGGAAAATGGCTTTTCAAAAAGATTTAAAAAAAAATAGAGATATAAGAACTAGCATAAATGAAAAAAGTATAGATTTTAATTATATAAGTACCTTGATACAAGAAGAATGTTTTATAAAAAGCAGTCTTAATGCCTCTTTAAATTATAACATGAATAAAAATCTAAATGAAACAGAAATAAATTCTATTGGTATTGCAAATGAGAATATTGATTCTATAATTTTAGAAACTCAAAAAAAATTAGCAGATTATTTAGATCTAGAAGATTTTTTTATGAATGAGGAAAATATTCATAGCTCTGATTCGATTAGTGAGTGTCATTCAGATAGTTTCATCTATCATTTGAGTGACCCTCCAACAGACGTAAAAAATGAGATGTTAGTAGATAAATCATTTATGAAAAATAAAATGAATCATGAAAAAAAGGATAATGAAAATATTTCAAAAGATAATTATAATAATCAAGAATCCTTATCTCAAGATTTAGATGAGATAAAAAAAGATACTTTAAGAATGAATGAAAATAATGACTCAGTAAATAATGAAAATACTATGATTGAAGATATATATTTAATAAATAGTGAAAATAAAGATTTTATAAATAATGAAAATATGATTAACGAAAAATCAGAATATAACGAAGTCTATTCTGATGATTTAAGAGAAGATACACCTTCTGAAGAAAAAGAAATTAACATACAAAATGAAAAATTTCATTTTCCTATTAAAAATATTAGTGAATCACTACAAATAAATAATGAAAATGTTATTTCTATAAGTAATAATAGCAGTAACACGTTTATCATCAATAATAATGATAGTATGAAATTAAAGGAATTAAATAGCGCGAACGTTGATTCAAATATAATTGAAGAAAAGACAAAAAGTAGTTCTATAAATAATAAATTAGATGTAAATACCAATATAAATGAGGATATATGTATTTCCGTTGAATTAAATAATCAAAAAAAAAAAGTGGAACCAACGGAATATGATATGAAAGAAGCATTGGATCTCCAAAATGTTTCTAATATGAGCAGTTTGGGAAATATTTCTAATGGTAAAATAGGATCAGTATTTCTGGAAAAATTCGATGAAAATCCAGTTGAAAACAAAAATTTAGACTATTACAATGATGAGATTGATCCATTTAAAAATACTTCAACGTCATATTTATCATCACTATCTGAACCTTTAGATAATAAGGAAAAATCGTTATGTGAAATTTTAGAAATGGAAACTAAAAATAATAGCATTACAATGAATAAATCAAAAAATATGGATTCTAATATTAAAATAATAAATGATTGTATTAAAAATGCCCCTATAATGAGTAATGAAAATAATGATATTTATTCAGATTGTACAAATATGAAATGTGAAGAAGAGAATGATAATAATAAAAACATTAATGTTTCTTCAACAGATGTAAATTGTAAATCAAGTCTTAAAAATGAAAAATTTAGTGAAATTGATGAATCTTATATTCCAATTAATGTTCTTAAAAAAAAAATAGGAAAAATAATAAATGAAAGTAATTTTACGGAAATAAATTTAGAATTAAGAGATTCATTTTTACTTGATAAATCAGAAAATATTGAAAAACTAAGTAAGAATGGGTGGGAAGAAAAAAGTAATGAAAAACAGAGTAGTAATGAAACATTAAAAAAAAAAACGTTTCCTTTAAAAGTATCCAATTATATCAAAGAAATAAATAATGAAAGTAATAAAGTTAATAATTTTGATGATAACAGACTTATATATGAAAACATAAAAGAGAATTGTGAAAATGAAAAAAATTTTAATGAACTAAAAGGTAAAGCTAAAGTAAAGTCTACATGTATTTTAGAAAAACTACAAAATGAAAAGGAAAAAAATAGTCATGTAGAAAATATAGATTTCTCGATTACAAAAAAGGTAAAAGAGATTTTAGAAAAAAATGCAAATGAAAAATATCATAAAAAAGAATTATTTAGAGAAGATAAAAATTGTATAAGAAGTACATTGAATGAAAGTAAATCAATAATAGAAGATAAATATAATATCAAAAAGGAAATTTCTTCAAATATAAAAAAAAAAAATGATGTCATCACAACAAAGGAAAATAGTTTGTATGATAAATATATAGATAAAATTAATGAATTGTATCAAAATATAAAAAATAAAAAATTGATTAATGATAATGAAAATATAAAAAATGAAACAAGTGAAAATGATAAAATTTTAAATAGGAATGATAATATTGATTTTGGTAGTAATAAAAAACGGGATAAAAAAAATGAACTAATATCAAGTAGTTTTAAAGATAGATTTGACAATATAAGTAACAAAGATGATAATACTAGTAAGTATGTAAAATATAATGATATGATTAATAAAGATAGTGTAAAATGTACCAATAATAATTACTTTGAATATGATAGGAATTATGATATAAATCATAACGACAATAATGAGGATATTAATAATCATTATACTAATATAATAAATAGAATTTTATCTCATCAGAGTAGCTTTAAAAATACAAAATTAAACGATTTTTGTTATACTAAAAAAGGAGATAATAAAAATGAGTTGTGTAAGAACAAGGAAATATTATCAAATAATGATATTCTAAAAACTGAGAATAAATTATTCAATAATTTAAAAGATGAAGAATTTTTGGATAATAAATTGGTTAATTTTAAAAAAAAGATATTAAATGATTATAATTCTAATGCATACATAGAAAAAAAAGAAAAAACATTTTTAGAATTAAAACAAAAAATTTTATATGATAATAATTTAAATATAAAATCAAGAATTACACCAGATTTTTTTGCTCCTAATGTGAGAAATTTTCACTCTAGTAATAGTGAAAATGGCGATTTTATTTGTGAAAAAAATAAGGATAAATATTTCCATACGAATGAAAATTCATTAAGCTCATCTAACTCGGATTATTCAAATGATAAACATTTTTATAAAAAATATAAGCACAATAAAATTAATTTAGATAATAACAATATTTTAAATCACAATGAAGAAAATTACAGAAATATAGAAAGTCACAATAAATATAAAAATAAGTTAGATTATGATAGATATCAAAAGATAAATAATTGTAGCAATAAACAAATGAAAGATAAAGAAAATAACGTAGATCCGTTTGATGTATTATGTTTTGATAATAAAGTAACTTTTATGGCTTCACAAAGTGAAAATGAGAGTGGTAATATTTCTAAAGTTATTGAAATCAATAAAACAAACATTCAAAGGAATAATCTAGATTCAAGAAATAATATATATCAGGGGATATCTAATTTAGAATTAATTTCAAGAATACACAAAAATAAATTAATTAGTACTTTGGATGATAAAAAAAAAAAAAAAAAAGCAAATATTTTAGATGAAAAAGGAAATAAACAAACTAATGGGATAAATATGAGCCAAAAAAGTAATAACAAAATTTCATTGAAAAACACATTTAATCTAGAGATAAACACAAAAAACAATGAAGTAGAAAAAAATAAATTATATAAAAATGGAGAAAATGTAGTGATAAAAAATAAACAAAATGATAAAAATGGCATTGAAGATGATTCCATTGTTATAACTAAAAGAGATGCATCAATGAAAACTACTTTATCTAAGAGAAATAATGTTTTAGAAAAGGAATCAAATATAAAAAAAAATAAAATAAAAAGTTTTTCGGATTTACTTAATAAAAATAAAGAAAATATGAAATGTGATGAACTCATAAATAATAATATAACAAAAGATATTTCAAAAAATATAGAAAAAGACAAAATGAATTTAATTAATGATGAAATGATTCTTAATATGGAACAGAAAAATGAAATATGTAATATTAAAAATGGAGATGCAAAGGTAAAAAATTCGAAATACAAATTTAATGAAATATTCTTAGATAAAAATTTAGTTTCAATTGATAGTGAATGTAACACATTACTTCATAAAGGCAAAACGGTAAGCATTGACATGGAAAAAAGTAAAAAGATATGTGATAATAAAATAAAAAAAAATAAAAGTGTTCCATTAAGAAATATGGAAAGCTTAGTAAAAGGAAAAAATATACTTCGTGAAAAATTGAATAGCAAAATTGACGAAAGATATAATTATCCTTTGAATAAAAAAAAAGATGATAATAATAATACAAAAGAAAGTTCTTTTACAGAAAAAAATTTAAAAGAAAAAATGCCTAATATTATAAAAAAACAAAATAAATTTTGTAATAATAAATATGATAATTCTTTAGTTCATGAAAACTCTCATATTTCAACAGTTAATACGAAAGATAAAACAATTAAAAGAAATGTTCCTTCAAAAGATATAATTAAAAATAATATTAATTTTGTACAAAAAAATAAAAAAATTATACTTGAGACAGATTTGAAGAATTCAAAAGTAAAACAATATTTAAAAAACAAAATAGAAAAAATAAAAAATAAAAATAATATTGTATTAAATACTGTAGAAAATGAAAAATGTGAAAGTAAATACATAGATGAAGACTTAAATAATAATGAATCTGATTCTATATATTGTGAAAATAAGGAAATTTATGAAAAAATAAATATAGATACTGATATAATTAAAGAAAAAAGATCTGTAAGTGAATTTTCATTTAGCTCAAATTCTAGAATGTTTAACAACCAAAAAAAAAATAGTGAACAAAACGTAAGCACAATATCAAATGAAATTCAAAAATGTGAAAATGACATGGTTTCAGTAACACAAAAAAAAAATAAGCAAACAAAAACATTATCTAGAAGTAAAAGTGAATCCATTAAATTTTTTAATTATTCATCAACAGAAAGCGATATATCATTGTCCTTTAATTCGGTAGAGAAAAATGAAAATTGTAAACTAAATAAATTTCAAATAAGTGAACAGAAAGAAAAAAAGAAGGAGAAAAATGAATTAGAAGAATTTAAAAATAAAAAGGAAGACATTAAAGAAGAGGAAGTGAAGATAAGAAATAAAAATATAAGAAAAAATATTTGTGATACTAAAATTAAAAATAGCAAAAGTAATATAATTCATACATATAATTCTTTACATAGAAAAATAAATTTTTCTAATATTAAAAGCAAGATTAACACAAATATTAGTAAAAAATCAAAGGAGGGAGAAGAGGATGTAATTAATGACAAGGAGGAGCATACTAAATTGAATAAAAATAGTGAAAGTAATAGAAGAGCAAAGAGTGCAAAAGTTTCTTTTAAATCAAATAATGTCTTAAATAACTTAAATTTAAATGAAAGTAATTCCATTACATTGAAAGAAAAAATGAAAAAAAAGAATAATTTAATTAATAATTACGACTCAAAAAAAAAAGATATGATTCTATGTAAAAGACTGAATTCTCTACCAGTAACTCGAAGGTCAGATAATGAAAAAAATTATAAAACCAAAACATTTAGGAAAAATTTTTTTGAAAAAAATGAATCTATTAAGAAAATGAAAACATCATTTTTTAAAACTAATGCTGAAACAAAATATGAGGAAGAACTTCAAAATAAATTGTTAAGCTTAAATAAGAAAAAAATTTATGATAGCATGAAAAATTATGATAAAAATAATATTAATACCAACCATAATGATTGTGTTACATACGACATCAATAAGAATAATGTTATATATGTTTCTAATAGAAATCATAATTATAATAATAATAAAACTGACAGAAACAATTTAAGTGATAATTATAACAATTGTAATTATTATGAAAATGATACATGTAATAAGAAAATTGGCTTTAATAATGATAAATATAATACCATTTTGTGTAATAATATAAAATGTGCAATGAAAAATTGTCAAAAAGACAAAATGAATCTAGAAATTGTGAATCTTGATGAAAAAGAAAAATTTAATTATAACAAAGAAAAGTCCAATTTTATCCTAAATGAAAATAATAAATTAATTTATGAAGATAATTACTTTAATGACAATGAAGGTACATTAATTAAAAATTATTATTTAGATAATTCTATTTCTGATAATGTGAATAAAATTAATATTAACAATATGATTAATTATAACAATAAGATATGTTATGTCAAAAAAAATAATAGTAATATTAATAATAATAGCTATATACCTTTTAATATAGCCAATAACAATAATGGTAATAAATACGTAAATAAAATTGACAAATCGTATCATATGAACACAAAAAAAAAAGGAGATACTCGCATATCTAATGTTAGTAATAAAAATGAAGCATATATTAATGAAGGATGTAAAATGGATAATATTTATTTCAATAATTTAGATGAAAATTTTCCAAATATAATTAGAAAGGAAAATAATAATGTAGTTAGAAGTCATACATGTAGCAAAATAATGAATATTCGACAAATAACTTCAACAGGATCTGAATCTGCTTTTATAAATACTCCCACTAACACAATATATACATACGAAAAAAGAGATGATTTTCCTAATTTTAGCTGTAATCTACAGAATAATGAAATTCATGAGAATAATAAAAATAATAAGAACATAAAGAATGAACAAAATAAATATGAATTACAAATGGAAAAGTATTTGAATACTAACACTAATGAATATAATACTAATAAATATATATTATCTTATTCAGTACAAGATTGTTTAAATAAAAATTCTACTTCACATAAAAATGACGAAAAAACTGAAAATATAAAAACACATTATGATGATTATATAAGAAATGCAAATAAAATAAACAACTGCAATGTAAAAGATATAAAAGGAAAGAAAAATGAAGCAAATACTAATACAGAATTATCTACAATATTCAAATTTGCAAAAAACAAATTATTGAAGTTGAGCAGTTTAAAAAAAGGTCCATTAAACCCTAATTGTATACATTTCAATGTAAATTCGCAAGTAATAAATAATAAAAACAATAATTTTCCAAAAAGCGATTGTGATAGTAACATAAAAAATACTACATATATTTATTATGATAAAGTAGAAAAAGAAAATAGTAAAACTTCTATAGGAAATCTCGAAAAAAATAATTGTAATCATAATAATTATAATGTGGATATGTTAAATAATGGTCTAGTTGTTAAATCAAATAATTGTTATAATGCTAAATGTATAAAAATAAAGGATGAATTAAGTACTCTAAATAATATAAATTCTTCTCATAAGACATTAGAATGTAATTTATATAATAATTCTGAAAAAAAACAATTTAACAATAGAAACGCTTTTGACGAAAAAGAATACTTGTTTTATCCACAAAAAAATAAAGAGGTTCATATTCTCAGCACAAATACCAATAAAATAATTTGTGAAAATCATACAAAAGATGGTTATGAGAAAACCAATTTAATAAATCATAATGGGGGAAAAATGCATAGTTATTACAATAGAGAAAAAAAAAATGTAAGAATTGCTATAAATAAATATGGAAAAAAATTTTTTGTTAATTCTTCAATACATATCACAAAATAAACGTACTTTTTTAAACTAACAGGAAAATTATATTATTACATTAATGTTCATATATTTTTAGGGAGCATCTTTGATTTTTAAAAATATGAAATTTGACATATAAAAAAATTATTTAACTATATATAAATATATATATGTATATATATATATATATATAATAAAACTCTAGATTTTAATGTTTTAAGTATTATTTTATATATTAACTTTTTTTTATGTTCAAAATAAAAAAAAAAAAAAAAAAATGAGACTATAAATAAAATATTTGTTAACTATTTAATATATTTGAAATTATTGTTACAGACAATTTGATATTGAAAAATATGTATTTTAATTATAAAAAGAAATACATATTATAATAATTTATTATGAAAGTGAAAAAAATAAAAATATTTCAAAATTTATGCATCATCTTGACACAATATTTTTTCTAAATATTTATTGTTAAACGTTGATATATATTAAATTTTATGAATTTAAAAGGATAGAAAACGAAAAAAAAAAATCCATAATTTATTTAAATGAAATTATTTAATTTAAAAAAATTATATTAAATATTTCTTTTTTTTTTTTTTTTTTTTTTTTTTTTTTTGTCTATTTGTTAATTTTTTTTTTTTTTAACACTTGATGTATTTTTTAATGATGAATTGCAAATAATAGATTTACTGGAATAAAAAATAGAAGATATTCAAAATTTATATAAAATCCTATGTATATACTATCATAATAGAAATCTTTTTTTAATATTCAATTCGCATTCTATATTCTTTTTTTATTTAAAATATTTAACTATTTTATTCTTTAATATATTTTTCATATTTTTAGTTTTAAAGAATATAAAAATGACATAAAAATATTAGATTTAGATAAAAAATTAGTACAAGGTTCTTTTTTTTTTGTTATAAATTGATTCATAATTTTATAATAAACTATGTATGCGGATGAAGTTTTCTTAATTATGGGATATAACTTATAGAAATGTAATATTAGGAAATTTACATTAACATTTAAAAATATTATTAATAATAAAATTAAGGAATATGTGACTTATAGGCTTTGATATCTAGTAAATTCAATTTAAACATAAACATGTTCATATATATGTTTCTTAAGTAAGAAATGAGTAAATGTAAATATTATGCAAAAATGTATGCAGCAATAAGCAAAAGCTTATCTTTATTTAATTATTTTATTCAGCAAGAATTATTGACTTCATGGCGTAAAAATAAAAAGAGAATCATTAAAAATATTTTTAATTATTTTCCTTAAAGTATGCATGCTCTAAAGCTTGTTTTGCAGTAATTCTTTGATTTGGATCAAGTTTTAACATTTTTGAAAGTAAATCAATTCCAGACTCATCTAATCCTTTTAACTAAAAAAATAATAAATATAGAATTATTTAAAACATAAATAAAAAATGAAAAAAATATGGAATTATATACAATAGAGTAAAATATTATGAGAACACAAAAAATATATTTGGTTACAAAAGATTCCCATGGTAATGGCTCATAAACTGTAAAATTTGGATCATATTTAGGCAATTCAGTAACACTGGGCCAATTTTGGGAGTTTGGTGTTCCTAAAATTTTGAATATCCTCATTAACTGATCTGTTTCAGATACACCTGGAAATAATGGTCTACCATTTACCATTTCAGCAAATATACATCCAACACTCCATATATCTATTGTAGTTGAATACTTTTTAGATCCCATTAAAACATCTGGAGCCCTATACCACAATGTTACTACTTCATGTGTATATTTTCTTACAGGTATACCAAAAGCTCTATATATGCAATTAGATATAAATTTTTATATATATTTCACTAATTTATTCTATTAATTTTTTTTATCGATAATTTATATAGAATTAATTATTTCACTTGTTTTTACTTATAATAAAACTAACGTACAACAAATATATAAAGAAAAAAAAATTAATAATAAGAAATGAAATGGTATAAATATTACCTAGCTAATCCAAAATCTGCAATTTTTAATTCTCCTTCTCTATTTATTAATAAATTTTGAGGTTTTAAATCACGATGTAAAACTCTATGTTCATGGCAATATGCTATACCATTTAGAAGTTGAAGTAAAAAAGATTTAGCTGTTACTGATTCTAGACCACCTATAAATAACATTTTGAAGGGATAAAAAAATTTTCAGTTGAATATATATTTTTTTTTTAACTGCATATTATAGTAAATTAAAAAAAATAAGAGAGTAAGAAAAAAAAAATTCATAGTTTCACTTTTTATCAATTCTTACCATCACAAACATCTAAGAGTTTTTTAAGGTCCTGATCAAGATGTTCAAAAACTAATATTAATCTTTTTTTTGTGTGTATGACATCATACAACTTAACTATATTTGAATGTTTTAATTCTTTTAAAATGCTAATTTCTCTTATAGCTAAATATGTAGTAATAAATAATTTTGACCACATATATGTAGTAAAGAAAAAATAAAAGGTTATAAGCTTATAGGTATTTACAATACTCAGAGATATATTTATTATGTATAATGCATATATATATGTTATATTCAATGATTTTTAAATTAGCACTATTTTTCAATGATCATCTTTTTTATTAACCTGTTGAAGGAATTCCTTCATCTTCTTTTTCTAATCTTATTTTTTTCAATGCAAATGTTTCTCCATAATTATTTTGTGCTTTGTAAACCACACCATATGTACCTTCTCCAATTTTTTCTAAACCATGATATTTTTCCATTTTTAAATGATAAGTAAAAATCACAAATATTGTGCTTTTACTTTGTAAAATATTCTATTTACCTTATCATTACAATTAATGAAAAATAAAAATTATATGTTTAAAAGGAAAAAAGAAAACTAAAAAAAAATAATTACTACATAAAATTTCATATATATATATATAAGCGAATAAAATAAAAGTAGTGAAAAATACTCTTACATTCTTTTATTTCTTTTATACTGTTTTTTTTTTTTTTTTTTTTTTTTTTTTTGTGAAAACGCACTTTTCAGATCATTAAGAAATATGAAATTTATTTACACACAATATAAAATAAGCTAAAATTTAAGTATTTTTTTTTTTTTTAATGCATCTCTTTTTTGATGCGAAATGAAAAAATATAAAATTTATTTTTTTTAAAAATTTTTTTTACTAGCTAAAATTAAAAATATAA